GGGGGGGGGGAGTGATGTAAAGACTTAAAAAATGTTACCTTTGCTCCTTGCTCTTTGAATTATCTCCCTGCAAAAATAATTCATAGAGAGAATGGAACCGATGCCACTGAAATGTTTCTGGTTCTTTTGGCATACACTATTTTTGAATCTGAGGTTTGACAAACAAGCAATACAGTAAGGCTTTTACTAAAGCTGGGATATATAGTTACAAGAGAAGGCCTAAATAGAAGTAATGTTATAGTAGCACTGTCACAGTATCGTTGAATACTAGGTATTAGAGAAGAATACACAACTTTTTGAACAAAACAAAAAACTAAATCAGAGAAGCATCAGCATTATAGTTTAGTTTGATCTTGTTTTCACCTCTTCCCAACTCTTGGAACCTTTCCAGCCATGATGTTCTCAAGGTTTCTAATCCTCATCTCAAGTTTCAGAAGATCAGTCATTTCATATCTTCTGCTCCTTTTCTCATGGTTGTCAATATTTTCCATCTGCATATTTCCTTCGGTCCTATTGATACCATTTGTACTTACCTTAGGAGCTTCGACTGAATCATTGCTCATCTGCAAACTCATTTTAGCAGGACCAGTACTCGAAAATTCTGCATATTTGCCACAGCTCCTATTTACATTTGGAACCTCACTTGCAAGTTCTAAACTGTGAGACAAGTTGAGCTTATAGCCACCTTTTTTGCTTAATGGTTTTGACTCCATTAGTGTCGCCCTTTCTCTGGCAATTCCATCATTAGAAGCTGAAGAAGATTGGCTTTGGATGCTAGCTAAGGGTTCTTGATTATCAGGTACAGTAATCTCTTTCTTCATGAGCTTCCTTTTGTTTAAAGATTCTGCAATCGGTAAATTGTCATCATCATCCGATGATTCTACAACTCTCATTTCACAATCCTGAATATTGTCATCTGTTCTAACCTCATCAGATTTCTGTGCAAATTCACAACATACAGAGGAGGCATTCCTCATTTTATAGCTTTCCCACGACAGTCTTGGTATCCTTTGATGAGTTCTAGACCGTTGTCCTTTGGTTACATGCTTAACTGCATCTTCAAGTGCAAATTTGTTGTTCTTCCACCACTCCAAGTATCGTTTTGTAACATCTGACTCGAAGAGCCTAGAAGGTATATAGAGTTTGGCATCTTTAATTGGTCTACTATAATTACTCCAAGCAATTCTTGGGCTATCACTAGCATGATTCACACAAGCTGGCACGTCTTGATCAAATCCAAATTGCATTGATACTCTATGTGGGTTATACTGTTCTACACAATCCACTCCAACTAGTTCAGAAGCTCGAATAAATCGAGCAAAAATCAAGATTTCTCTTCCCATCTTTGGTCCAACCACCACATATTCCTCCCTTTCCTTGTAAAATTTGTTCAAGTCCCAATTCTTCACAGTACCAATAGCATAAGGACGCCACAAAAACAATTCTGCCGTAGAATCTATGGCCCTCCTAGGATCTTTCACCTCATGCCATCTAACTACTCTTGGCTCCCCAGAGTAGATGACACCAGGCTTACGCAGCAAATTGGGGAACCTCTCCCAAGCCCATAACTGAACAACATGAAGAGGAGCCCTAAGGATAAGATCCGACTCATCTTCTACACATCTAGAACTACTCTGTTCACGATGCTTAGACGAAGATAAAACCAACTGTTTAAGCAAGTTCAAATCTCTATAAATGCTAGCAAGAACAGCAGGGGCAATCGCCATTGGTATACCTTGAGAAAGATAAATTGCAATAGGAAAAAGAGCTTTCTCCACAATACGATAACTTTTAGAAGGGAGCACATACTTGGACAACCAATGAGTGATAAATGCAACATGCTCCAAATGATCACCTCTTCCTTCAAAATACTCCATCCAGGCATGGTGAGTAACATTCCTTTTACGTGCTTTAATAATTTTATGAGCCTCACAAAGACTTTTTTCAACTTCAACAGAATCTTTAGTTTTAACAGGTTTCAACACACAATGTCCCCAACACAGAGTAACCACCCAAAACTACCATATCCTCCAAAGTAACACTTGCTTCTCCCCATGGTAAAATAAATGTGTTTGTCTCCGCCCACCATCTTTCAGCAAGAGCAATGATCAAATCATTGTGCATACAAATCTTGAACGTAGAAGCTATAATAGCTTCAAAGATTCCAGCTTTCTTCCATATTTTTTGATATAAAGGTTTTAACTCATTGACCCAAGTAGCCCATTCCTTCAAGTGTGAAACTGAAACACCACCCCTGAACTGGACCTTTAGTGAAATACTCCTTCTCAGTTCTTGAACATTGGGTCTAGAAGGGGAAAATGGGAGCTTTTGGGCAGAGGGTATTGTTGGTTTCAGAAAATGGGCAACTCTAAAAATGGGTATTACTTGTTCATCATCAATGGGTGAAACCATGCATGAGCTCCTCTCTTTCTTCCATCATTAATGCATCTTCTGATGAATCCACCATTTTTTTCAGTAACAAGAAATAGTTGTTGCACCTTGTTGTATTCCTGCCAATTTTTGTTGCACCTGGTTTTTTTGGTCTGTACTATTTTTCAGTCTGTGTATGGAAAACAAGCAATATTAGCATAAAATGCTATTTATAGGTAAAGAGTCGGTAGCTGGACTAACAACACCTTACAGAAAACATGCCAAAAGAAAAAGAAAAGAAATAGGAAGGGACGCAGCTGCCACATTTTCATAACAACAAAAAAATTGTTTAAAATGTTGAATTTCTTTTGACTTTTGGAATCATAGCTTTTAATAGTACTGTAATATTTAACTTAAGGTTCTTATCAAATACTACGTATGTTAGTACTTAGTAGTAACAAAAAGTAACAGAGTAACGTTCCCTTTTTTCCCTTCTACTTAATTTATTACGTATCTCAAGCAACTAATGGGGCAAAACAAATTCTGTTGTAGTTTTCTTTGGTTCACCTCGTTTCATAATTTGTGTATATATTATTATTTTTTTCCATTCCCGTAGTGATTTTAGTGTTTCAATATTAAAAATTTGCATAATCTTTCATGGTTATTACGATGAAATTAAAAAATAGTACTCCCAATAATCCATCACATCTTTATTACCTTTTTATCTCCCCAAGACTTCATTTTTTGTCTCCTCAATAATTTATCCTTCTCAAGTCTCATCATATCTCTATCACATTTTTGTTCCCAAGACTTATTTTCTTTTCTCAAGAATGCTTTATTTCAACATAACACTTTGTATCACATTTATATCACGAGATAATAACAAAGTTATTCATTATCCTCTAATCTTCAAATATATTAAAGAAAGAGCTTCCCACGAAGATGAAATGCCTTACTGAATATATATTTTTTCTTGATGAAATGCTTAATGCATCCTTTTACTGACCATTTTAGATGAAATATTGCTCCTGAGTTAGAGTAGTACAAAGGACAAACCACTTTATAAGAAATTTATTATTTAGGGATCAAAGAGAGGCTTCAAAATATCATCGTTCACTATGTGTGATATTTAGCTAATTAGCTCAAAGTCCAATTTTCAATCACTACTATTTCTTACATCTTTGCTTATGGCTTTCTTGATTCTTGCACTTTTTGTTCCTTGTTAGTTTATTTACTGGATATGTATAGGGAGTTTGAGATTTCAATAAATTGCCTGACAAAGAAAATATATATCTTTGTTAAGAGTCAATACACATTATTGATAATGTACATGGGCTAATGTATTATTTTTTGAAATTTAACTGTGGTTTAGTTTAACATTAAAGAATTATTACTGTTTAAAGCTAGGTTTAATTAATGAATAACTCTCGGAATTTGTCTTAACTGCTGAAAAGGCAACCTAAACAAATAAAGAAAGAAAGTACCACGCTTAGAGCTAATGAATTAAAGTCAGAGGAACCAAATGGGCAAATGGTTATCTCTATTGCTACTATTCACATCTCAGGGGTCATTTGATTTGAGGGATAAAAGACTATAATCTTGAAATGCAGTATGGGATTAGCTTGTTCTATAATAAGTAGGATTTTTTTTATTCGGGATTTGTTATAAATAGAATTTTATTTATGGCGAATGTCTATATTTAGGGAGATTCTAGGGTTTATTACTTGGTGGCTAAGTCACCATCTCCCTATAAATAGAGGGTTCTATTCCATTGTAATTCATCCCAAATCAATAAGAATTCTCTCCCTCTACTTTTCTCTGCAATACTCTTCTTCTTCTTTTATTATTTCATAATACGTTATCAGCACGAGACTCTAACCAATTGAGTAGAAAATTTGGGATTGAGCATAATGATTGTCAATTATTCCATGAACTTCCTTCATGATTAAATTCTGGATTTAAGGTAAGTATTTTACCGTATTTTTCTCTTTTATTCTATACTTTGATTTTAAATACAAGCAAAGACAACAAAGTTTGAGTATAACTCTAATGGAGTTTTAACCACCTGAAGTGGTAAAATTTATATGCCTCGCCATGATCAAATTCATGTATGATTGTCGGCAAAGAATTGAAAACCCGTCCCATTGAATTTGCTCCATTCTCATTCCCTTAAGAGAGTGTGATAGTAGTATGTGATAAGTCTGAAAGAAGACAAAATTATTACTATGAATGTATCAATGGATATGGACGTGGCAATAGACGAAATTATAATCGTCATCATTTGTGGTAATGAGAACAATAAGGATTCTCAAAATAATCTTTCACTCTGTGAAAAATATTTGTCATCAATTTGACATGAGATTTTGTAAAGCACATATAGATGATTATGGTCCATTCATGATGTGAATGTGACAACATCTGATTTATGAATACATATTCACTCTTCAAAGAATATGAACGTGCTAGTGGTAGTGAATATACCGCACTCACCTCTAAAAGGAGGTTTGAGATGATATAAGAAAATAATGTCATTATTATGGCATGAATGGTCATTGGTCACGTACCTATTGTACGCCAAAATATTTTGGCATTGTGATTGTTAAAAGACAACGGTAATGCAAGAAACAGATCTTGCATATAATTTTGACCATGACCATAATGGTATAACTTTCTCCTTAAAAAAGATATTCACCATATGGGTGTTGATGAATATGTGGTACTACAAAATTAATTGAGAACTCTGCAAGAGCCAATTATACTATTTTGGAGAAACACAATTAATTACCAATAAGGTATTGTGTTGTAGTAAGTCTCAAAGAAACTTATTCAGTTTCCAAAGTATACGCGAAAGCGGTTGATTATATTGAGACTATAAATAAAGGAAAGATTTAATATCTTCTATTACTACAAATTGTAGCGGGGTAATATGTATGTGAAAAGCTACCCGCTTTATTCTCCAATTTGTACTACATAAACAAAAGAATACCACAATGAAGTGGATATTTATTGATATAAAAACCCATATCATAATAAACTTGGAGTTTATTCATAATTGCACACATCATGGTGTAAACCTGAAGTTTATCAATATTGATAATTTATTCAGTTGGCATAATTGGTTTAGCCATATCAATTCAAGTATGATGTGCAAAAATAAAAGAGAATTCACATGGGTAAATATTAAAGAACTAGAAAGTTCTTTACGAATTCTCTTACATTGCTTGTTCTCATTAATTAATAGATCAACTAAAATTGGGATCGAATCCCATGAATGTTGGAAATATCAAAGGTGAATATGGGCCCATTCACCTGCCATGTATACCACATAAGATGCATCTATGAGATGGTTACATGTGCGATTATTATTAACCCGCAACATGGTGTTTGCGAGGTAACTTGCTCAATAATTTAATTTCGAGCATAATTTCCAGATTTTCTATTCAAGAAGTTCATCTTGATGAGTTGGTTTACATCACAGTTGGTTTAGCAAAATAATTTATTAAGTGCCTCTACTTAATAGCTAAACAATTGCTTATGAGAATAAAGTTATATATATCAATTTGATATATGTTATATACGAAAGTATATTGCATTTTTCCCTCACAAGTGGTTCAGGGTCAGGAACCAAGTAATTCCATCTTACTATTATTGATGTGCGGTGTATATTTTGATTAACACCATAACGCACAAAGATGGGTTCTCAAAGTTGAGGAAACAAGTTAGTTTTTCTAACATGAGGGGGAGACATGATAAACAATTGAGAAAAGGTTACGTGGAATGAATTATCACTGGTACATCTAGATCCTCGAATAAGATAATATGAACTTGAAGTTCATAAAAGGATAATTCATGTGCGATTTATTGCAAAGCATGCCAGACGCATTTGCTGACCCAAAGGAAGTAACTATATTCTCATTGCAAATGCTCCTATTTGAATAAGTCCTAGAAGGACAAAGTCTATAGTACGCTTAAAGCGTATAGACAAATCGGTTTCAAATAAACTTCTTGATAAAGAAGATGAGCAAATGATTATAATAAATGAGGCAAGTGATCTAGAAGATCACATGACATAACACTTCATAAAATCTCATGAGAGATTCAGGTACCTGAATATATGAATGAAGAGATCTATATGTTATGTCTTTATGAAAAATAAGGAGGTTGGAACCGATATAAAATGTTTGTCGACGACATCTATAATGGCGCTAAATATATATGAGAATCTTAAGTCTGGAGAAACAATTTTGAATAGAATTGGTTTCATATGAAAGACATGTAGTTTTGAACATGTGGTTCAAATACTCGAAAGTATAAAGTCAATGGTATGTGCATTCAGTTTTCGATATCTTGTATGTCTAGCATGACATGAAAACTTGATATGCATCTAAAGTCTATTGTATGACTTATATGACAATCCTTAAAGGATTTAAATCGCTTGAAGCATATACAATTCTTGATCTTGAAGTACTACTTCCTCAGTGCAATTTGTGCACAAATGTATCTTGCTATAACTATAGGCATGATAATATGATACCAAGAGTTTTCACCTCTATGTGAAGATATTGAACTGACGGTTACAACAAGATCATATGAAGATAATCCATCTCTATCAAGAATGATGATTTCAAGGTGCAATATATTCATTCAAGTTAATATGGCTGATTTGTTTATCAAATATCTACCAAAGATCTTTTGAAGATGGTGCACAAGATTGGAATGCAAATGCTTAAGGATGTGAAAGTGATGCTCTCATGAGGGGAAGTTAATGCGTGTTGCACTCTTTTTCCCTTACAAGGTTTTGTCTCACTGGGTTTTCCTTGCAAGGTTTTTAACGAGGCAACCAATAGGCGCATTTCTAAACATGTGTACTCTTTTTCCTTTTTCTAGAATTTTTTTTCCCATTGGGTTTTCTTTTAGTTAAGGTTTTAACGAGGCACATTATCTGTTGAATAGACATTCAAGGGGGAGTGTTATAAATAGAATTTTATTTATGGTGAATGTCTATATTTAGGGAGATTCTAGGGTTTATTACTTGGTGGCTAAGTCACCATCTCCCTATAAATAGAGGGTTCTATTC